CATTCTGTAGTGAACTCTGCAAGTTCCTGTAGAGCCTTCAGCAGGTCCCTGGATACCTTTATTTGGAACACCTGAGTTTTACTCACAGTTCGTATTTTAACACAGTTACTATTTTAATATTAGTCTTCAGTGTAACAAAAATGGGAATAGAGCACAGTGAGGCTTTTTGGGGTGGTTTTGTTCCCAGCAACGTGGCTAATGCTGATCTCCTTTTTCTTTTCTCAGGATGCTTCTGAAAGCACAAGGATTTTGAAGAAGCTCCTGACAACCAGTGAAACTCACAGTAATATCTACATCTAAAGAGGAGGTTGATGCCCTAGGCTGCACTTTTATAAATTCCAGTTTCCTCTGTAAAGGACTTTGGGAAATTTGACTTTTTTTGGTCTTTAAAAGTGGAATAAATTCCAGTTTTTTTGTTTTTTACTTCTCCACTCATTTTTGTTATTTTCAACTTCTTCACTGCAAAGACTTGTATTCCTTCTGCATGGCTTGGGAGACTTTCTGTTGGAAAGACATCTTGAATATGAAAAGCAACTTCTTATTCTCCTCCTGAAGGGATTATCTTACCTGAATGTATTCCTTTCATATGAAAAAGAGGAAATGCAGTTAAGGAATTCTGTAATGAGAACACCTATTTTTTACTGTTATTTTGTGACACAAAGGTTTTTCTGATATTTGTTGCTCTTTCAGGATTTGTCTGTGATGGAGAAAGTTCTGTGCCCTTGCACATACACAAATATAGAGAATTTAGTGTGTGTGTCTGGACATACTTTTTTCATCTCTGTGTTGGTACAAAATAGAGGAAGTAAAGTATGGTAAATACTTTTAAAAGACTAGTGGGAAATAACCTTTCCTGGTGGAAGGGACTGGCAGGCTCACAACCTGTTTTAGCAGGATTTGCCAGGGCAAACTGATTTAATCTATCCACTTTAAAACTCCCAAATGCTAACAACAGTAGGAGCTGTACAAGATCTCTTAAGCAGAATATGAGGGGTGGAAAAAAGTTCAAGTTTTAAAGCATCTCAAAAACTTTTCTGACAGTTGGCAACAATTTCAAGCAGTTTATTTAAGATGTTTGCTAGTATTGACATGTAGTTCTGAGTTGTATATATGTATCCTCTGGTTAATTTAACATTTTGTTTAAGAAAATGGGATTAAAAATAGTTTGTTGCTCCTGGGTAATTGTTGCTGAGTTTAACTTTGCCTCACACTTGGATGCTGAGTGGACATTTTTGGGTTCCTTTAATAACTGTCATTGATTTAAATTGTTGTTAATGTAATTACAGGTAAGCAAGTAAATGTTGCCTAAAGTGGTACTGGATTTGCAGCTGTATTTTGGAGCAAATCCTGAAGCCTGAAGTACAGGACATGGTTCCTTCTGTGGTTTGTTGTTTCTTTTCCCATTTCTGTCCATCATTTTAATTCAAAACCTGTTTGTTTGTATGATCTGAGCTGAGAATTCTTTTGCTCTGAAAGTGGCACATTGCACCATTTTCTTACTTTTACATGTTTGATTCCTAAAAAAGTGGATAACAAGGAATATCTTTAATGATGAATGTTCAGGTTGTTATAACAACTCTAAATGTACTTCTGGTGTTGGTGTGATCACCACTGCACTTTGCAGGGTTTCAGAACAGTTACCACTGAGGTGTGATTCAGCTTTTACTACCTGGGGTTATGCTGAGGTGTGAGAAAGCTCTTAAAGCACCTTGAATCCAAGTGACAAATGTGGGAGATGGAATTGGGGAGAAACCCTGTTGGATGCTGTCAAAACCAAGCAGTTCTTTTGTTCATTCCTCAGAAAGTAATGACCAAAACTCTTCAACCTCAACCTAACCCTCCCCTGGCAGAGCTTGAGTCTGTGCCCTCGTGTCCTGCTGCTGGTTGCCTGGGAGAAGAGACCAACCCCCACCTGACTCCAACCTCCTGGCAGGGAGTTGCAGAGGGTGAGAAGGTCTCCCCTGAGCCTCCTCTTCTCCAGGCTGAACACCCCCAGCTCCCTCAGCCTCTCCTCATGGCACTTGTGCTCCAGTCCCTTCCCCAGCCTCGTTGCTCTTCTCTGCACCTGCTCCAGCACCTCAATGTCCCTCCTGAGCTGAGGGGCGCAGAGCTGAGCACAGGATTCAAGGTGTGGCCTCACCAGCACCGAGTCCAGGGGCAGAATCACCTCCCTGGCCCTGCTGACCATGCAAGGCTTTTTAATACCATATTTATTTTGTTTTGCCTCATTTAGCTTTCACTTTTTTAACAAAGAAGCAGGATAAAAACTAGTTGTTTGACTCTATGTTTCAGCCTTCACCCAGCATTACACTTGCAGCATGAGCATCGACTTCCATGTTAAAATTAAGCTCAATTGGTAAAGGTCTTGACTCAATCAGTATGGGGTAGAGAAAGTAATGCTGTGATGCTGATAGAAAAGGTCACTTGTCTGAAAGGAAAGTAGCTTGCCTTGGATTTAACATCCCCTCTACCTCAGGGGTGCTGCTGTCACAGCTGTGAGCTGCAGAGTCAGGCTGTAATGTTTGGGAAGTGGCCTTTAATGTTTGAACTTCCAGTGAGCCAACCTGGTGTTTTCCAGTGTCAACATGTGGCTTCCAGACTTTCAAATCCAATGCATGTTATGAAAATGCATAAGTGTTGAATTTAAACCATATTTTAATAATTTGGCCACCTGTACAATATCCTAATAACCTTTCGAGAACTTGAGATCCTCTGTCAAGTTATTCGTAGCAGATGTTAAATCTTCGGTGTATTCTACACATTTACACACTGGGGGACAGACACTAAACATTACCCTCACAAAAATAACCAGAAACATATTTATTTCAAAGCATGAGAATGGTTCAGAGCAGGAAGTGGCTGCAGGAAGCTCCATCCACTGTTGTGGTTTGTTTTAAAGGTGTGTTCAAAATGAGATGGTGAAAAACCTTTGTGGTCATTACTGCAGTAGGACAAAATGATTGGAGTGCTTAAAAGATAAGAGCCTTTTTAATGTATATATTTTGTTCCAGTAACTTTCTCAGCTGTTATTCTCAGCCTAATTTTCTTTTTTTATTATATTTTTAGTGCACTTCAACTCTCCAATTTTAAAGACATCATTACAGGGCACTAAATCCTGAGTGCCAAACCCATTCTCTTGTGATTGAAAAATTACCCTTTTGGGCAGAACTTGAGAGCCAGAAATGGGAAACTTGCTGGCAAGAGGCAGAAGTCCTGGTCTGATGTGACTGGGTAACAAGTGTCTTTAGGAGCAAAGTGAATTGCTGTGTTTAAAGATGAAGACATCGTTGAGAAGTAAATGCAAATATAAATACATCTATAATCACACAGAATGGTTTGGGTTGGAAGGGACCTTAAAGATCATCTAGTTCCACCTTCCTGCCCTGGGCAGGGACACCTCCCACCAGCCCAGGCTGCTCCAAGCCCCATCCAACCTGGCCTGGAACACTCCCAGGGATGGAGCAGCCACAGCTGCTCTGGGCAACCTGTGCCAGTGTCTCAGCATCTCACAGGGAGGGATTTCTTCCTAAGTGACCCAATTTTCAAGGGATCACTAGTTGTAGGGGCTTCAATTTTGCCTCTATTTGTTCAAAGACAATTTGGCCATAAGTTTTGGAAGAGCAGAGTGTGCACAGGTCTGACTGAGTTGTCTCACCTGCCTGTGAGAATTTTAAGGGTTGTTTGTTGGTTTCCTTTTTTTAATTGACTGAGAAGTTTAACTTGTTTTGAGAATAAATCTTCATTTTCAAAGTTGTCTGTTTGAGGTTTTTGTTTTGGTTTTGGTTTGTTTTAAATCCAGACAAACTTGGCCCTACTAATTTTTTATTTTTTTTAAAGTGGCCTGAAGATGTCTCAGGGTAGGATTAGGTTGGATATTCGGAAAAGGTTCTTCCCCCAGAGGTGTTTGGGCACTGAACAGCTCCCCAGGGCAGTAGTCACAGCCCCAAGGCTGGCAGAGCTCCAGGAGGGTTTGGCCAATGCTCTCAGGCTCAGGGTGGGATTCGTGGGGATGTCCTGTGCAGAGGCAAAGGCTGGACTCAGTGATCCAAGTATTAGCTCTGATGATTGCAATGAAGACCTGAGACATCTGTGCCTGCCTCTGCTCCCATCACTATGGAGAGAACCCACTGGCTTTGCTGGGAGCAGACATGTCCCTGCCCAGGGGGATTATCATAGAATCAAAGAATCAACCTGGTTGGAAGAGCCCTCCAAGATAATGGAGTCCACCCCTGCCGTGATCACTAGACCATGGCACTAAGTGCCACATCCAGTCTCAGGTTGAAAACCTCCAGGGATGGTGAATCCACCACCTCCCTGGGCAGCACATTCCAATGCCTGATCACTCTCTCCATAATGTGTTTTCCCTTTTCCAGGGATTTACAGCCCCTCAGCTCGCTGGGATGAGCTGCCACTCTGCACCAGGAGACCTGTGCACATGCAGCTGACTAGCAATGCCAGACATCACCCCACTGCCTTCCCCAGGGCATCTCCTAGGCAATTTTTCCCCTCTCCACCTCCTACATTCCTGTATCCCAACGTGCTGCTCTGTTTGCCATCGTAGCTATTTATCAGCGCTGTCCATCAGCAGTTTGCTGTTGGGCTTGGCACCGTTTTTCCAGCTCTCTGCTCTTCCTGTGGCCGTGATAACACGGCCCGTGCCGTGTTTTCAGACCATATGGTTTCCATATGGGAACATGCTGCTCTCGTTAGCCACCTTGGAAGCAGCTCGTCAGCCAGGTCCCCGCTCAGAAACAAATAAATTGTCTGGTGTCTACTGTATTTCCTTTCAGACCACACTCTCCACTTTAAACTTGGCAGCATTTCAGAGCAATCAAAATCCAATCAGCAGCCGTGCTAACTCCATATGTTTTATTTCCAGACGGCATGAGGTGGAGGAAGCTGGAGCTATTCTCGGCGTGGAGCGATGCTGAGGGTGACAGGCACGTTTTCTGCTGACTCTTACCCAAAGCTCTGCTCGCTGAGGTGCTCAGCTTTCCTGCACAAAGCAGTGGCCAGCCAAGTGCTGCAGATCAAATTAGTTTTCCTGAAAAGTGGAGCAGCTCTAATAGAGAGTGAAATGAATGTAAACTACAATTAGGTCGATGGGTTGGAAATGTGCCAGAGTCCTCAGGGGCTGAGCCTTGCAACATAAGCAAAGTTGACAGGTTACCTTCCTTTAAATGGTGTTTTAAATGTGGTGATTAGCCCTGTCATGGGTCTGTTGGCATGTTCTGTTGGGCTGTGTGCTGGAGTCCATCACTCAGGCTCCACCCGAGTCTAAACATGGTGCAGTCTGGGTC